GTGTTCTAGTGTTTTAGCATTTTAGTGTTTAGCATTCTAGTGTTCTAATATATAAAATATGTTAAAGTTATATTTTTAATGCATTTATAGGTATTATTTCATACATATATCAAGAACATAAGTTATGCACTATATATCTATGATATTAGAACACTAGAATGCTAAAACACTAGAACTCTAAAACACTAGAATACTAAAACACTAAAACACTAAACACTAAAACACTAAAATACAAACACTAGAATACTAAAACACTAAAAACTAAAATACTAGAACACTAAAATACTAGAACACTAGAACACTAAAATACAAATATTAAAACACAAATCAGATTTATTACCATATTAGGAAATATGTTAAAGCTACCTTTTTGATTCATTTATAGTTATTATTTTATATGTTCATCAATAAAGTAATTTATGCACGATGTAGATCTACCAAATTACAACACTAGAACACTAAAACACTAAATCACTAAATCACTAAATCACTAAATCACAAAACATGTTACTTTGTGTACCTATGTTACACCATAAAAGAATATAATCTACAAGAGGATTTGCGGATTGATGTAGGTGTTTGTGCAGAAGCAGTCTTTTTATGTGAGCTAGAAGGTGCTTTTGCTCTAATTCTTTTTCTACCCTTTTTAGTTTCACAGGCCACAACTTCAGCTGGGTCATCTTTTGGCATAGTATCTTCATCGTCAGTAACTGGCAGAAGAAATGCAGTACCATCTTCTAACTTATCCTTATTAAAGAAATATACAAAAGTTAAATAGAGTAAATAAATTTAGTGTTAGTGTTGTGTTAGAGTTAGTGTTATAGTTAATGTTAGTGTTTAGATTAGAGTTAGGGTTAGATAACAAAAAAATTAATAAATTAACTTACTAAATTTCTATTTATTCTAAATATTACAATATCATCCTCCATATTAAATTTTTTATAAAAAGAATTAAGCATTATCTGGTATATAGTTATCATATATGCCAATTGCATATTTGTGAGAGTTATATTAGACCAAGCATTTGAAAGTATTTGGAAGAAGTAGGTATCATTAGGATTAGAGGCATTGATTGGAGTAAATAATTTTTTATAACATTGATGTGTCTTATCCGAATCCTTCTAATCTGAAATTACTTTAGGTGTAGAATTTAATTTTATTCTATCTAATTGGGCTTGTCTGAATACAGAAAAGATGAAATCTTTAATTTTAGTCGCAATTCTGCTATGACATGAGCGATGAGCTACTAGAAGCTAATACAAAATAAATTAATTTGAAATTAAAAATAATAATGCGAATTAGTTTGAATAAACTTAAAAATAAAAAATTAGAAAATAAATAAAATATAAAATTAAATTAAATTTGAAATTAGAATAGATTGACTCAAATTCAACTAAAATTTATTAAGCAGACTAAATGTAAAACATTTTGAATAATTACAGGACTAGCCAGATATTCTTCATAATATATATTCCATTCTTTAGTTTTTATTCTTTCATAAAAATTATGCACGAATTCAACAAGGTATTTCTCTGCAGCCACTTTTAATTCATCTAATGTTGGATAAATATTTGTAACAATTAATCTTTTGGCAATTGCTAAACTTGTTTACTAAAAAGTAAAATATATTAGATTAAATTAAATTAAATAAAACATAAATATTAAAAAATAATTACTTTAATGAAGCTTTCTTCATTTTTAAGTCTAAGACCTTCTGACACACATCAATCTAAATCTGAAACTTTTCTATTTAATCTAGCTATTTCTTCAGTTAAATTGAGAAGCACATCATTAATAGAAGCCAACATAACTTGATCTTAAATTATTTTAATATGTAATATAGATTAAATAAAAATAAATAAAAAACAAAAAAAAACAAATTATATTTTTTAAAATTAACCATTAGAGAATGTTGCAAAACAATTTCAACTAGATCGATATATTGTGGAGTAGGCCTCTGAGTAATAGAGGTAGCTACAGGTTGACCAGAGAACTTTCTAGCGAACAGTACACGCCTGTTGGCATCATGAGTTGAATGAAATTTAGATTTAGATTTATTTTGGGCTATTTGTATAAGTAATAATATAATTAAAAATAAAATAAAGGAAAAGCAAAAGAAAAAAAATTAAAAATAAAATAAATAGTGTGAAATAATTGATAATATATAGGAAAACAATAGAATGATATAAAAAAGATAATGAAAGCTTATAGAAAGGCGAAATCAAAAAAATGAAGATTTGGTAAATGCAGACAAATTGGAATTAACAAGAAAAAAAGTGAACTAAGTAAGATAAGTGTAATGAATATGAGATTGATTAGAAAACTACGAAGAAGAAGATAGCTGAAGTAGGTTTATTTAAAGCTTTTTGAAATTATTCTAATATAATCGAATTATCTCGCAATATAGCAAGTTGTTATTAAAATTATTATCTTTGATTATTTTTAAATGTATATATTTTACTAAAGTAATCAGTTTTATTATTATTACTTTTGTTAATTGAAGTTTAACGAATTGAAATTTATTTGAAGTAATTTCTTTATTTAATTAAATCAAATTTATTATATTAAATACATTTGCATATATCGATTTATTGAAATTTTAAATGCTGTTGGAATTTATTAAAGATTTTAATAACTCCCCAATAGATTAAAATAAATCAGGATTAGTCTAAACAATATGAATTAATTTGATTTATAAAATGATCAATTCAAAATAAATTAGAATTAGCTTAAACAATGCAAATTACTCCGATTAAATTAAATCCTTTTTTGATAGTTTTAAAATAAATTAGAATTAGCTTAAACAATGCAAATTATTTTGATTAATTAAAAAAGAATTTCAGATTGCTTTAAAATAATTTTGGATTAGCTTAAACAATGCAATATAATTCAATTACTTTAAATGAATTAACTCTATCAAACTATTATACTTTTAGACCTTATATTACTATATTTAGAATATGCGAAATAAATAATCTGCTTAAAAACAATTGATTACTATATAAGTAAATTAACAAAAATATATTATTATGAATTATTCTATTGCTACAAAAATCATTCTAGATCTTTATATACTCAAAATTTTAATCTAAAGTAATAAATATATAAGGGGTTAAAATTATGCCAAATAAAAGTCAAATATTTACTATTATAACAAGACAATTGTGAGACAAATAAAACTTATTCTACTAAATTTACATGGTTGCGATTTAATTGACTCTGAAAAAAAAGTCTATAGTGTATAGAAATTTGTACTTGTGCGATTTAATATACTTAAATAATTAAAACTAACAAAATATAGTAGAACATGCACCAAAATCTTATTAAGTAAATTAGAAATAATTCGAATTGTTTTGATTTAAACGAAAACAAAATAAAGTATTTAATAATATTTTAAAAAATGTTTAATTATATAAAACAAATTAAATAACTTCGATTTATTTTTAATTCTGCAAGTTTTTTTAAAATATTCTATGAAGATTATTTTTATTTAGTTCGAATTAATTTAAATAAATTAAACTTATATTGAAATTTATAGATAATTTGTCTCTATATTTATATAAAATAAAGTATTGCAAGATAGCAATATTTA